CAGATCAAATATATTACCTCTCCAGGAGATGCCAGGAGGAGAATTTGGACCAATCAAAGTACATACTCCCTTCTCCCTTCAAGACCTAAGGCAGATAAAAACAGACTTGGGGAGATTTTTGGAGGACCCAGATAAATATATTGAGGTATTTCAAAACATAGGCCAGGTGTTTGACCTCACCTGGAAAGATATTATGCTATTACTCAACCAGACTTTGACTTTCAATGAGAAGGAAGCAGCCCTAAGAGCAGCTGAGGAATTTGGAGATGGACCTACACCTTGCTCTTGCCCCAGCAGAACAGACTAGGAGCAAACCAAATCGTCCATCTGGAGCACAGGAAGTTCCCAGAAATGATCCTGAGTGGAACTCAAATGATGAGCAAGATGCTTGGAAAATTAGACGTTTCCAAATGTTGGTCCTTGAGGCCCTCAGGAGAATCAAGCAAAAGCCCATTAACTATTCTAAGGCTTCAGAAATTATTCAGGGACCCCAGGAAAGCCCTGCTATTTTCATGGAGAAACTCAGGCAATAAGAAAACACACCACCATGGATCCTGAATCCACAGAGGGCCAATTACTTTTAAAGGACAAATTTATCACTCAGTCAGCCCCAGACATTCGGAGGAAGTTACAAAAATTGGCATATGGCCCTGATCAATCTTTAGATAACATCCTACAGCTTGCCACTTCTGTTTTTTATAACAGAGATCAAGAGGAAAAGAAGGAGAAAGAGCTCAGAGACAGAAAAAGGACTGAAACACTGGTATTTGCTCTTAGAGGAGTAAGCTCCAGGGTGAAAAAGAAGGAAGACAAAATGCTCCTCAATCCACAAAAGGGACTTGTTTCCATTGCGGAGAGGAAGGACATTTCAAATGGGATTGCCCAGTAGCCAAGTGACCACTGAAAAGGCCCTGCCCTAAATGTCAAGGCAATCACTGGAAGAGCAACTGTCCTGAGGGGCGAAGGTCCTAGAGGCCAGACTCCTCCACACAGGCCTGATGGGCCCAGGCTCAATTCTGGCTCCCTCACGTAACTCCTATCACGTATGTTTCTCCGTAGGGAGCGAAGAGGTCAACTTCCTTTTAGATACTGGTGCCAGTTATTCTGTGCTCACCTCTTACCCCGACCTCTTTCCTCTAATACTACAACAGTACAAGGAGCGTCTGGACGGCCTATTACCAGAAAGTTTACTCCCCCACTGAGTTGTGAGTGGGACTGGATGATGTTTTCTCATGCATTTCTGATAGTCCTGGAATGTCCTACTCCTTTATTAGGAAGAGACTTACTTTCAAAACTTCAGACATCCATTACAATGAATTTGGGACCATGAGGGCCATTATGTCTGCCTTTATGAGAATGTGATATAAACCCTGAAGTGTGGGCTACTGAAGGCAAAATTGGACGGGCAAAAAGTGCAGTTCTAATCAAAATAGTCTTAAAAGATCCTTCTGTCTTTCCACATCAGAGACAATATCCYCTAAGCCCAGAGGCAAAAAAGGGCTTATTGAAGATCATTCAGAATCTCAAAAGACAGAAACTTTTAGTGCCCTGCAACAGCCCATGTAACACACCCATTTTAGGAATTCAGAAACCCAATGGGGAATGGGACCAATTCAGGACCTGAGAATAATTAACGAATCATTTGTTCCTCTCCACCCTATGGTTCCTAATCTATACACTCTTGTTATCTGAGATTCCAGCAGCTGCTGCATGGTTTACTGTGTAAGACTTAAAGGATGCCTTTTTCTGTATACACTTAGACTCCTAATCACAATATCTGTTTGCCTTTGAGGAACCAGATAGCGGATCTCAACTAAGTTGGACCGTACTGCCCCAAGGGTTCAGAGATAGCCCTCATTTGTTTGGCCAAACCCTAGCTAAGGATTTAACAGAGATCAGAGATAAAACATCTCTGACTGTCATACAATATGTAGATGACATACTTTTATGTGCCTCCACTCAAAAGAAATGTCAGGAAGCCACTAAAGAACTTTTAAACTTCTTAGCTGATAAGGGTTATAAAGTATCAAAGAAAAAAGCTCAATTGTGCCAAAAACAAGTTCAATATTTAGGATTATAGCTGTCTCAAGGAACCCTCAAACTAGGACCAGAAAGAATAACTCCTATAGGACAGTATCCTCTACCTCAAACCATAAGACAACTTAGAGGCTTCCTAGGGATAACTGGATATTGTAGGCTTTGGATCCCTGGATATGGGGAATTAACTAAGCCTCTTTATAGCCTCCTCAAAGAGACACTATGCCAAGGAACAACTTCCCTGATATGGGAACCAGAACAGATTAAAGCCTTTAAGGCATTGATAGGGGCCTTACTCCAAGCCCCTGCCCTTAGCTTGCCTACTGAACAAAAGTTCAACCTATTTGTCACTGAGAGAGGAGGAACAGCCCCAGGAGTGGTCACACAAAAGAAGGGACCAGCTCAACAGCCAGCAAACCTCCCCAATCTCAAACATAGTTGGAGACGATCTGTGTTTTGTTGGTATGATCACCTAGCTTCACTATTTATCCCACAAATTGGTTTAAAAGATGTAATGTGGCATGTCAAGACTTTAAACAATCGTACTCAAACTGCCCTCCATGATGTTGAGGAAAGTTCTCTCTCTCCTTAACACTGAAATAACACTTACGAGGAAGGCCATCTTACAAAACTGGATGGCTTTATATGTCCTCACTGCAGTTCAAGGCGTTACTTATGGCATTATTAAAATTGAATGTTGTGTTTACATCCCTGACAATTCTGGCAATGTGACAAATATCCTTAAAGATTTACATGCTCAGATAGAAGCCATGTCCTCGCCAACCTTGTCATGGGAACAATATCTTAGCTCCTGGTTCTTCCTGGTGGAAAACATTGTTAGTTTCTGTCATTGTCATCATACTCGTTAAGATATTCCTATGCTGTGGCATTTATTGTTGCGTTAATCTAGTTCCAGTACTAATAACTTCTTGTCTCTTTTATAGACCGCCCATCACTCAAATGGCCCTCCAACCTGTTACTTCTCAATCGGACTTCTATCATGGACCACTGGATAGAGCTGATTTTTAAAAGGGGGACTCCAAAACTGCTTTCTCAACACCACCCCCTTTCAGCTCGAAGAAGCCAGAACGGTCATAGCCCCCTTTCCCTACAGCAGTAAGGAGTTCCCAAAATTACAGGGGGGAATGAAGTCAGATTTAAAGATAGGTAGTTAGTGTAGTTAGGTACATAGGATCTAATATCAAGTAAGATGAAGATGGAGCCCATCCCAAGTAAATGTTAATGAAGCAGCTCCCAGCAAACATGAAGATGCTAATCCAAAAGCCCTTCCTGCCCAGATTACTCCTTTGCCCCCCCCACCCCCTGTCTCCCACCCTTTGGGCCTTTCCACCTACATTTCTTCACTGCAAGATAACCGGAATGTGACAGGAATGCGGGAAAGCAGAAAGTAGACCTTAGCTATAAAAGAGAGAAGACCTCCCCCTTCCATGGATTCCACCTCTTGGGTCCCCTTCTTCCTCCCTGGAGAAGTCTTTTCTACTGTCCTTTAATAAAGCTTCTACCTTCTCACTCTAAACATGCCTCAGAGTGTTTCTCTGGTGTTATACTTCAGCACTGGGGAAGCAAGGACTTGTCACCGGTAAATAGCGGTAACAATAAGTGCCAAGAAAAATATAAACTGGGTCAAATGATAGAAAATAATGAAGGATTTAATTATAATAAGCACTATAATATTTTTTTCCTTTTATGCTACTAGAGATTAAACTAAGGTTACTCTACCACTGAGATACATACTTAGCCCTTCTCATTTTTAATTTTACTTTATTTTGAGACCTGGTCTTGCTAGGTTCCCAACGCTGACCTCAAACTTGAGATCCTACTCCCTCAATCTCCCAGTTGCAGGGATTACATGGTGCCTCACCACACTCTGGCAATAGCTAAATATATTGAGATTTTAACTTGTTTGGGACTCAAATTGCTTTGTATGATTTATTACATTTAATCCTTTTAATCACCTTTCATCTGACTTCAACACCTTTATATTTAAACATTCTGCCATAACTCTTGTTTCTCAAAAAATGAAGTCAATCAAGCTAATTTTTTWAAAAAATAAACCCTGATCAACAAAAAGAGAAAGAGCACAAATCAAAAGACACAGGACTTAAATGGAACATAACTATAGATATAGCAGAGATGAAAATATAAGAGAATTTGCTTGTTTTTTCCCCGTACCTGGATATCATGTAATCATTAAATGAGTAATTAAAATTTATAAACACATACACATACTCCAAAATAAAGTAGCTTTCTAGAGAAAGTCTCCCAAACTTCCAAAAGTGAAATAATCAGAATGTTGTATAACTATAACCAAAATATTAAAAGAAATAATGTTCCTAGCTTCCTTCCAACTTCCTTTGCAGCTGCTACAACCTTGAAGTTGAAAATCACACAAGGAGAAACAAAGAAGGGAAATTATAGGCCAATTTTAATTCTAAAATTAAATGCAAAAATTCTAAATGAATTTTTACAAAATTTTAACTATCTATAAAGGAAATCTCATACTCAAATTGGATTTATAACAGGAAGGAAAAAATGGTTTAAAGTTGGATTTGTGGGCCACTGCCRTACTCCTACTATCTTTAAAGATTTTAGTGTTGCTGTGTTATGTTAGAAATCATTTGATACAGTTTTAATATTAAGACATTAAAGGGAAAAAATTAGGGTCATTTTGAGGGATGTAGGTAACTTGTTAAAATTGTTAAAATTCAACATTTATTTAAATTTAAATAAGTTTAAATAATTAGCAAAATTAGGAAAAAAGTATACTTCCATAATCTAACTACRAAGCCAAATTAAAAGCAATCTAAAATAAATTTGCATAATGTTCAAACATTGTATTTAAGACCAGTAACAAGAAAATATTATAGCTTATGTTCAACATTGCACTGGAGAAGACAATGTCTATTACTATTAGTAAAATAAATAATGAATGTAAAGATTAGAAGAAAGAACAAAACTTGCTTTTTTCCCTTCATATAATATGACTGTCATAGCTAATCCAAATGAATCAATAAGCTATTAGAAATAATAAGAGAGTTTGGTAAGATTCCTGGAGAGTAGACTAATATGTAAAAACATTTATGTTTCTATAAATTTCAAAATAAATTAGGGAATTTAAAATATTTTTAATAGCAAGTCTGAGAAAATTTCTAACTTAGCTGAAAGACATTTAAAAAAATCAAAATAAGCCAGTTTTCTTAGTGGAAATAATCAGTGTTGTAAAGATGTTAATTCTTTCAAATTTATAACTTCTCCCCAATTTATCTACAAGTTTAAGGCAATTCTAATCAAAATCCGTTCTTCAGAATTGATAACTTTCCCTAAAATTAATTTGCACCATCAAAGGGTCAAGTATAGTCAAATGATTTCTGAATAATTTGCAAAAAAGACATGCCGTGAAAGCACCCCCAACCAGTTATCAAAAAGCTTATCTTGGCCTTTGCAGACTATAAGTGATGTCTTGGAGCCTGTTGTCAGTGGTGGCTGACATCTCCCGGATAAAGTACTTTGTGATATAAAAGCTCTCATTAAGCCAGACTTAAGTCAAAGGTTGAAAGTTTTCTGTCATAAGCAGAAGCAAAAGCAAAATAAGGGACAAAAAAAGTGGGGGTGGGGTATGTATGGATCCCATGAAAATAGAAGGTAGATCAGGGGAGTAGAGAAAGGAAATAGGGAAGGAGGAAAGACAGAAAAAGGAAGTTCTTTAGAATGAAGTTGACTAAATTGTGCTATCTACATATATGAATATATCACAGAGAATTTCTCCTATACTTATATCTATAGAGCATCAATTAAAAAAAATGAATAAATAGAAGTAAGACTAGCAGAGTAGAGGACAGGGAACAGGAGAGGGAAGAGAAGAAGGAAAAARAAAGTTACTAGGACCTGAAATGGAGCAAATTATATTCCCTGCAGGCATGATTATGTCAGAATGAACCACATTATTATTTATTAACTATAAAGCACTAATAAAAAGTACTCATCAAATGCAACTAGAAAATGGAAAAGAAAATACAGGGGCTGGGATCCTGGCTCAGTGGCAGAGCACTTGCCTCCCAAGTATGAGGCACTGGGTTCGATCCTCAGCACCACATAAAAATAAATAGATAAAATAAAGGTATTGTGTCCATTTACAACTAAAAAAAAAAATAGAAAGAAAGAAAGAAAGAAAGAAAGAAAGAAAGAAAATACAACAAAACACGGTTTAAGAGCATCAGAAATTTATTGTAGCAACAGGCCTGAAATTTCAGAGTAGGAGATCTATACAGAGATGAGATGGTATGATGAAAGCAACTTTCTCCTTGGGACCCTCTTGATTCTGGGCCTAGGTTTAAGGCTGAAAATCTGAACTTTGTGTGGGTGGAGGCCAATTTTTGGAGACAGAGAAACTAGCAGTATTTTGGGTTTCTGCTTGCAGGCCTAAATAGATAAAAGCTCAGAGAACTGAGGGGTCAAGGGCCAGATGGGAAGAGGAGATGAGGGAAATGAGCCAAAGGGATACCCATTTGTACTTATTTAATTTGGAGGGTGTGAGGAGCAAGAGGCTGAAAGAGTCTGGAAAGCAAAGCAGAGTTTTCAGCAATAGGATTAGAGTCCAGAACCCACTGGAGAGGGAGCATGGGTGAAACCCACCAGCTGGTTGTCAGAAATGAGTGGAAGTTTACACTCCTGGAGCAGGGACAGCAGAGGCAGTCTAAATTAAGCCTTCCATAAATTCTAACTGGGCAGTAACTAAATTTCCTTTGGACCAAGACAACCCTGAATCTTGTCTACTCAGCAAATAAAAATGTAGAAACTTCTATATTTTTGTCATGTGTTATATGCTTAATGAAAAAAAATCACAAGGTGTGGACAATGTTTGTTATCGACTTTTGTCAAACACATGTCTCCAAAACTTAATGTCTTAGAACCAAAACAATTTATTATCGTTTCTCACAATCATTTGGATTGGTTGGTTCACTCTGCTAGGTATTTCTTTTGCTATGCTGTGCATGATCAGGGGCCAACATGGGGGCTGTGTTTACATATAGCACAGCTGGGGTTGAAACAGCAATATAGCCTCTCCTCCTCTGAGACCTTTCTCAAAATTGCCTTTCCAGCAAGAGAACACCCATTTCTTTACATGTTTGGGAGTGTGTGTGTGGGGGGGAGACCATGTGCTACAGAAGTAGATTTTTCTTTCATTGTAATGAGGGATTTAATACAAGAACTAATTTGATTTGATTTTCTTTATATAAAACAGGGTAAGGGGTGGGCTTCTAGTGCAGGAACAGCCAAATCTGTCAGATCTCTTAAAGGCTAGGCTCAGAGCTGATACAGGTCCTTATTCCAGAGGACAAAAAAAAGCTTCTGCTTTGGAGGTAAAGGATTATTGATGATCATCTCCAAAGACAGTTTGCCGCCAGGAGAAAACCATACAATCTGGCCATAAGAAACAGATCTACAGTGATCTGGATAATGGAGTTTTATATAGAAGTTGGTGTAGCCCCCTGCCCAGCACTGGCTACTGAACCGGGGTCACTCCAGTGAATTTGGTGTGACATGAAATGACCACGCAGACACACAAAATACCTTTCAGTGGGTGTTCAGGACGGCTTCCCCGCCCCCAGCCGCAAGCTCCCACAAGGGGAGGGGGGCAAGAGAACCCCTTCCCAGGAGGCTGGTGCCAGAGAGGGAGTAAGCCCTGAAGCTTGGCTTTTATGGGGGGAACTATTCAATGGAACATTCTGTCCAAATTAGGCGGAGGGGTAGTATTACAAAGGAACAAGGAGGCAGCCCACTTCCAGTGTGTAACTCCCATTCCCGAAGCRGCACCTTTCTGAGCAGAGATAAGTCCACATGCATTGCAATAGGTGGAATGCCACTCCAGTACCTCCTTGCTCAAGACTTAAAGGTGTGTGCATAGATCCTGTTCAGGGTGGCTCCCAGCAATCTGGAATATTTGAGGGTGGTGATAATGGAGCTTAGTGTCTGTTTCAAGGAGAAGATAAAATATATATATATATATATATATATATATATATATATATATATATATATATAAACAGAGAAGAGGCACGGGCCAGATCACGCTTGGACTTGTTGGTCATGTGGTACAAAATTAGATTTTTCTTTCATTGTAATGAGGGATTTAATACAAGAACTAATTTGATTTGATTTTCTTTGTATAAAACAGTTTGAGGTAAAGGAAGAAGTGGGTGACTACGTTAGTTTTAGCAAGAAACAACAGTGACTTGAATACTGGGCAGGAAATGGGAGTGAATAAATGCATGTATCTAGTCCACATTCCATCAACTAGGAAGCATTAGTTTGCAAACAGGAAGTAAACAGTCAATTTATTTTAAAAATGGCTTCCAATTAAATCTGAAATTAGAAGGAACTCACTTCTAGTACATTCTTTAATTGAAGTATGATTTTAATGTAAAAAAAACCTCATATCTTATGATAGGAAAGACTGATGTATCATTAAAAGTGCACTTTCCTAGGTAACCACAGCATAGGTCCAAGGAAATCTTTTTGATGTCCTCTTCCAATCACTAATTCTTTCCTCTCCAAATGTGTATGTACCCACTATACCAACTTTAAAATAGATTAATTTTGCCTGATTTTAGATTTCATATGGAATAATATGCATTCCTTGTGTTTGTCTTCTTTCATATATATATATACATAATATATATTACATATATAAAATAAATATAGAAGATACTATATATAATATCTACATATTACATATCTATGTTTTATATATTATAAATAATCTCTTTATATATGTTAAATATATATATCTTTATATTTATCTCTTTCTCCACCAAGAACTTACATATATACCCTTAAAAGGATATTTGTTTTGAGAATCAAAAACTTCACGATGGAAGAGAAACACATGATTTTTAAGTCAAAATTAAGGACATTGATTAGTGTTTACTTCTGAATGAGTCACTATTCTGATAAGTTAGAGAAGGGGTATGAAAGCAAATGCAAATAAACGTTTTAGCCAATACTTGAGTGCAGTAGAAAACCAGATCACAGTAGTAACTCATTTCTTTCTGTCCATTAGCTTGAGAGGAAGAATAATCAGTGAAGAAGGGAGGGATCATCAGAATTTAAATATAATTTTTTATGATTGATTTCTATTACTTTATAGAAACAATCAAATCTCATCCATGAATTATAAATTGTAAGGATGACATTTGTTTAAATAGAATATGACTGAGACAGGACGACAGACCACACCAGGCAGCCAGGAAATGGGTCTTGGTAAAGAAAAGGAGAAAGAGAAGATTGAGAAATCAAGCACCTGGCCCCAGATGGTCCTATCCACAAGGATGGTCCCTTAATAGCCCCTAACCACAACTAACAGCAAAATATTCCCTAAAAAGTACTTCCTCTTACAAGACCTCCCTYTCTTCTTGTGCTGATTATGCTTAGAAAAGCTTCTCCAGATTTGCTAAGGATGAAAAAAAGAGAAGGGAAGAGAAGGGGAGGAGAGGGTAGGGGAGAGTTTATTGACTTCTTCTTTCCTCCCTTCCTTCCTCTCTTTCTTCTTCCCTTCCTTCTTCCTTTCTTTCTTTGAACTCAGGGTCCTTTAACCACCGAGCTACCTTTTAATTTTTTAAAAAAGTTCAGACACAGTCTAGCTAAGCTGCTTAGGGCCTTGCTAAATGGGAGAGGCTGGCTTTAAACTTTCGATCCTCCTGTCTCAGCCTCCCAAGCCACTGTGATTATAAGCCTGCAGCACAGCACCTGGCTGATTGGCCCCTTTCTAAATTGTATTTGTAGGTATTGTCCTACCAATCAACTATGAGGAAAAATCAAGCCCACAAAAACCCCTAGACAGAAGACAGTGGAAYGCTTCCTAGGAACCTCTCCCATGCTTTGGGAGCCCTTCTCTTTTTCTGTTTTAGATAAATCTTATTATTCTACCCTTTGCTTATCCCTGGATCTCATTCCTTGAATTCATGAGGCAAAGGACCCATCCTATTGCCCAGGTCCACGTTACATTATGATTTTTATTATTAATGCTTACGGCACAGCTTATTGACGCATTTCTCTCCTTCAGCACACTTGGAGCAGGGTTCTCCTTTGGTGTAAGGGGACGTATTTACATAATTTCCTCTGAAAAAGAGAAAAAAAAATTGTTACCCTAATGGCAATTATTTTTCAAATTTTGTGCATTTGAAAAAGTTGTTCTGGTCACTCACTAAATCATAAATGTTGAAAAGGGAAAAATAGCAACCAACTTTTGTTCCAACTTTATGCTAATTTCTTTTATAAAAGGAAACTATTAAAACTGTTCTTTACAGGTTATTCCTAAACATAAAACACAAATTGGATTGAACCCAATTRTCAGCATGTTATAGTCACAACTTTTTTAATAGTCACCATGATTACTTCTTCCTTTGTAAATGGAATAAATTTAAATTGCAAATGAGAACACACTATATGGCTTTACTTAAAAGTASAATGGTGGGGGGCTGGGGTTGTGGCTCAGAAGTAGAGCACTCATCTGGTGTGCATGAGGCACTGGGTTTGATCCTCAGTACCATGTAAAGTAAAATAAAGACATTTTGTTTACCTATGACTAAAATACATACATACACATACATATAYGTAAAACAATACCATACTCATCTAGTTCTACTTGTTAATGTTATCAAGAAGACTTCACAGCTTTTATGCCTGATTTTTGATAATATAAGCCAATTCATTTTAACAAATGTCTTTTTAAAAAAAATCTTCGAGTACTTTGGAGACTTTGAMAAGTATTATTTACCCAGAATACACAAAGAAAAACATAGCAATACAAGTACTTTCCATTAAGGAATATGCCACAATTTATCCTTTCAACCACTGATGGACATTTGGGTTGTTCAAATTTGTGGCTATTTCAAATAAAGTTGCTTTGAACATTTCAATCATTCATGCACAAATCCTTAAATATAATACCCATAAAAAAGGAGTGAGAATTCTGGGTCCTTCATATCCTCCTCAGTACTTGGAATGTCCCCTCTCTAGCCATTCTAATAGTTGTACCGTAGTATTCGTTGTGATTTTACTTTTCCATAGCGATTAATAGTGTTGAGCATTTTGCAGGTGACTTATATACCACCTGTATGTCTTTTGCTCATTTTTCAAAATTGCATTTTCTTAATATTGGACTATGAGAGTTCTTTTTATGTTATWAATATAAGTCCTTATTTGACACATGTTTTATGGGCTTTCTGTTAGTCTGTTRGTTGTCATTTCATTCCTTTAACAAATGTCTCTGAATAGCAAATATTTTAAACAAATTTAACCAATTGTATAATTTCTGCTTTTTAACTAGAGCAGTTATACCATTAACATTTGAGGTGATTGTTGAGGTAGTTAGGTTTAAGTCTATTACCTTCTTGCTTATTTTATTGTCTCATATGTTCTCTGTTCTCCCATTCTCTTTTTCTGCCTTCCTTTGTGTTAATCAAACACTTTAAAATTTTTTTTTTTTTTTTTGTAGTTGTAGATGGACAGATGTGATGCTGAGGATCAAACCCAGTGCCTCATGCATGCTAGGCAAGCGCTCTGCCACTGAGCTACAGCCCCAGCCCTTAATCAAAATATTTGTAAGACTTCATTTAAACTACTTCCTTGGCTTATCTGCTATTATTCTTTGTTTTGTTTTTCTTTTTCTTTTTTTTTTAGTTTTTGTGGTGACTTTAGGGTTTATAGTATATGTCTTTTACTTTTCATAGTCAAGTTAAATTATTCCATTTCATAAGGAGTAGAACTTTAGGGTAGAAAAGAACCTTGTCTTTTCAACTCAGACATGGTAGTTTTCTGTTTTTAGTATCTTATCTGCTTAGTTTTTGAAAATAAGGGATATGATAATAACAATTTTGTTTTATTTCTACTCTAAATCTCTGTTAGTTCTGCGTTCATTTCAATTTCCACTGATTATCCTCCTTGTACTAAGTCTAATTTTCCTGCTTCTTTGCATGCCTGGTGATATTTAATTAGATGCCCCACACTGTTAAGTGTTAGTTTCTGTATATCATGTTTTCTATAAATCATCAATCTTTTTATTCTGGGGTGCACTTTATTGGGAACTTTTGGATTCTTTCAGGTTTTATTGTGAATTGATAGGGAGATTGGAGCAGTCTGCTTTGCTCCCTGTATGAGTGCCAGAATGGTTCCCTCTAATTATTTACTGGGTTCTTCATCAGTTTCTTCACAAACATATGCTAATCAGTATATGCTGAGTGTTCAGTGTGTGTGTTCTCTTTTCTCTAATATGTTTACCCATGAACTCTAGCAGTATTAACTTCCCTGCACTCTTCGCTGTTTTTTCAACTGGAATCTAACAACCTCTGTCTCTTTCCCCGACTCCATGTGCCAATCTTTTGTTGTATGATAGGCAATGACTTAAAAATTGTCGCTTCATATATTTTGTCGGTTGTTGTTTCAGGGTTAGAGTATAGTTGATTCTATTACTTGGCCAGGAGTAATGTAACAACATCCTCCGAATATTACCACAAGACCAATAAGAAATCTGTTATGAACATGTTTGGATCCAAAAACTTAATTTGTTCAAAGCAAAATTATGCTATTTAGCTTTTTTTAAAAATCAAATACTGAGCATTAATCTCCTATTATTTTTATATTTTTCTTTAAAATTCAGTGATTAGTCTCCTTAAGAGAAAATATTGATTATTATAATTTCTTTGATATCTATAAAATTCTAATTTCTTTGATATCTACAAAATTGTTCTCTGCCCCCAAATTTAACTCAATATACTTATCATTCTTGCTTTTACTTCTAAGTGGGAGGCAGTAGAAGAAAATACAAAAAGAGAGAAACATAATCTTTCCATAGTATTTTTGGCATATCCTACCCCCTTTTTGCCAATCCTGTATGTTTATTCTTTGTCTACACTTTTACCTTTTGTACATTTTGCTTTAAAGGTTTTGTTTGTTGAAGAACTTTGTTATTAACTTTTTATATTCCTTATACAGATCCATATGGATTAAAGTCTAATTTCATTTTTGGAGCTTCCCATTATGTTCATGTTATAATGCCTCTTAGGTAAGGTATTATCAGGAGGGTATTAAAAAGTATGTTGCTCTTTTCTCAGAAAAATGTGCTTTTGCCATTATTCTCAATCATTTTCTCATTCCAATTATGTTAATATTATATTAGAGAATCATCTGCCAACCATTTTKCATTCCAGCATTTAGATATTACTGGGCAACTTATTTCATATTACTTAAGAAATAGTTGCCATTATTCACTCTCAAGCTTAAACATTTCATAACAAACACAGTTCTACTTTATACAAGAGAATGTTCTGCTACTACTTTTTGTTTTCATCTACCTTGTTTTATTAGTATTTTAGAGGGAGACTTTACTTATCAAAAAATACTTGTTTCTAATATAAGATTCTCTTTTTGTAAACACTTATTAACATTTATTTCAATGTAAAGATTTTATATAGAAAAATAACTTACGCAGGTCCATAGTTACACACAAATAGTGAAGTTGAAGATGTGCCAAGATTAGAACACTTTGAAATTCCACAACCAACTTTATATGATTTAGCCCAAACTACCTATAAGGAAAGGAAAATAATTATAAAGTAACATATTCAAAATAATTCTATTCAAACAATGCATTATGGGAGTAGACATATCTTTATTATGCTATTGAAAAGATATACAGGCATATATTTTGACTATATTTTTTCTAATATTTTAAGTGATTATTTTGCTTCTCTGAGGAAAAATGTACTTATTAGTACATTTAGAATTTTGCAGTTTTAAGCATATTCTTTATATGGATTAAAAACATTTAATTAATAATTAATTATTTTGGTGCCAGGGATTGAACTCAGGGGCACTTGACCACTGAGCCATATCCCCAGCTCTATTTTGTATTTTATTTAGAGACAGGGTCTCACATGTGGCGTAGTGCCTCGCCATTGCTGAGGTTGGCTTTGAATTTGCGATCCCCCGGCTCAGCCTCCCGAGCTGCTGGGATTACAGGTGTGCACCATTGCTCCCGGCCATGATCTTWTTTTTTAAAAAAGTTTGCCATATGTATGGTGAATCATTTTTATATAGTTGTAAGGAATAGCAAACATTTCTAAATAAGAAGCTATCTATGGAAAACAAACCATGAAGAGTAATAAAAAATGTGAAGAACATCATTATCGTTTCTAACAATGGGAGAGTAGAATTGTCTCCATTTTATAAGTGGAGAAAAAGGAGGAAATGCTTAATTTACTCCACTTGCAAAGCAAAATAATTCCAGGAAAATTTTTGACAAAACAAGTGAGTTTTCCAACTTTGACAATTCCATTAAGAAAATACTATTATTTCATAAAATGATATATCAGCAACCTTTTTTATGACTGCCATATAATCAAAATTTAATTTGAAAAGTACATTTTAGTGGTTCTATATTTTTGGGACATCACAGTGGCATAAAATGCCAGGTGCTCTGAGGATTAAGAGATGAATTATGCTTCTCATTGTGTGTGTAGCTGGAGGTGACTGATCTGAGATTGCCTCACTTAATAAGATTGAGCAGATTATTCAAAAAATGCTTTTGAATATTATGAAAAGCTAATAAACTATACAACTGAAAGTGTACATAATTTTTAAGAAATCATGTTTACAATTTTGCTTCAYGGAAAACTGCATCATAAAATTTTATTGGCTTAATATATTTAAATTGTGATTTAAATAGTGATTTTTTTTTGTTTTTTATCTTTGGCAGGGGTGAAAATAAATATTGGCTTTGTTCAGTTTAAAAATGTATGGCTTTCATGAAATACACTAGATATAACATTAATATATATATTAGATGTAACATCAATATGAATATTAGTGAGTGGTAAATACAAAACATTTTGTTTAGAACATTGCTCAAGATATAGTGGTTCAATCAAGTAGAAGGATGTATATATTCCTAATTTTATTTAAACTATATGTAAATTATCCAATGAAGAATTAGCTTCTATTTTTTATGTAATAATGCTAAGGAAGAAGCAATGCTTGAAAACAGCTCCCTTTTTCCTTACAACAAAAGGCAAAGAACTGATACAGGCCATTTGTATCATGTATCATGACCCATCTTTGATACCATATTCGGGATATTACATCTTACTTGTTATAAGGAAACCTGACCATTCTCTCAGTTTTCCCAGTAGTAGCCAAACCATATTCTTTACCAGCAACATCTGTTCTGATGTCCTGGAGGGTTTCCAGACTTAGAGGAACATCCTGTTGTTGAACAAAGAGTAAACAGAAGGGGAACATGGAAACTGCTAATTTCCTTGTACACTGAACCTCTGATAAATTATTTTCTTGAAAACCCTACATATTAATTCAACCTATACAGATAGGTAAGTTTAGAGATGAACGTTAGCTCTTTCTATTGCTTGAACAGGTCTTCCCGGGAGGTCAATACTATACCTAGAAATTAAGCTTGGCTCAAAAATGCTTCCCACTTCTGATCAAAAAGAAGTAACAGGGAAAAGATTTGCACACCTACCTCAAACCTCCAAAGTAATTGAAAATATTAAATATTGGTTTTCAAGATACTGGACATTAGGCAACAAAAGTAATACACTGAGAGTCTGCAGGAGAAAATGTGACCCATACAGTTGTCTCAGCTTATTGCCTTGAGAGAGTTTCTAGACCATGACTCAGAAAAAGCTTGAAGGATTCTTGAGGAGGTCTGAAGTGAGAATCCAACGAGACCAAATAGGCAGGAGATTAGGGAATATAGTATTGGAGAGACGAGAATTTATACGTTGACACACTGTTGTGGATTGTGAAGGGTCCTCATCATCTATTCAGCAGAATACTAAACAGCATGCATGTCAGGAAGTTGCTCTAAGCCAGGCAAAAAAAAAAAAAAAAAATACCTGTAAGAACTAGAAAAAAACAATACCAAGGTTTACCCTGGGCCAGGAACAGGATCCACCTCACTATCCAGACTGGAAAAATGTCATAATTCTCAGGGTGTTATGTAGAGTATTCAGAAGAATACTTCAGTACTGAGATTATATCAGCCCTAGACTAAACACTGCTTTCATTCTACCTAATATATTTTAAAAGTAGGAACCAACAGCTTCAAATAAATTTCAGGTAACTTCACTGTATCCCTGGAGATACCAAAAGAGTATGTACAGGTATACAAATAAATTCAATAACCAACAAGGGAAATTTGCAATTTTCTAAATATAATAGTATCTACACAATGTGATAAGCAAAAGTAAAATCGATCCATCATGAATGGAAAAAGTCAATCCATGGATACTAACATACAGCTAATATGTATATACTAGAAGAATCAGGAGAAACAATCAAATGACAATTATAACTATACTTCATATGCTTAAAAAGCTAGTTGAAAGATAAAATGCAGTAGGTATATTTATTGAACTCATGAGAAACCCACAGTCACACTTCTAGAGATAAAAACTTTMATGTCTAAGATTGAAAAAAAAGCTAAATGGAATTAACTGGAGAATAAATAGTGTTGAAGAAAAGGTTAGCAAATTTAAAGACAGCAGTAAAACTATCTGAAATTAATCAGAGAAATGTCTTCAAGAAATAACAAGAGCACCAAAAAACTGGGACAATTTCAAGCGGTCTTCTACATGGACAACTGGACACTGGGAAAAGAGGAGAGAGTGAGAGAAATATTTTCAAAAACAATGGCCAATACTTTTTCAAATTTGGTTCAAACTATAGACATAGAGCTCCAAGGTCATTGAACTACAACAGAGGAAACACAAAGAAAATTATGTACATTATTATTGGCTGCTCAAGACTTATAATAAAAGCAAAAAAATTTTAAAGCAGACAGCCAGACATTTACATGCAGAAGAAGAGGATTACAGTAGATTTTTTTGTTGGAAACAATACAAATAAAATGACAGTGAAGTTTGATTTTTTTTTTAAGTTTAGAAAAAAAAACACACCTTACTCTACACAGAGGTCTATACCCAATTAAAATATGTCCCAAATGAAGGTGAATTTTCCTGAAACTCAAAAAATATTTTTTTATGACAATTGTAACACACATAAATAAGAACTAGTCAGTGCTGCCAAATATTACCTGTGTATAATGGCCACAAACTTTAGAACAAGCTTTAGTATCAAAGTCATAAAATGCAGTTTCATTATACCAAGCAGTGATAGCAGATTTTGGTGAAAAGATTTTAAGATCGCCTAACCAAATGTTTTCTCCAAGAAATTGAAAGCCTTCAGTGCATCCAAATGGTTTTGATAAACAACTGTTATGTTGAAATTTACACTCTGCTGACCACTCTTTAGCCACCTTTGCCAAGCTTGCATCCCAAAACTGAAAAACAAAAATGGTGTAAGTTGAATTCTGCATACCTTTTACTTAATTGTTTTGTTTGCAATCAATTACATTTTGTTTACTTTAATACATCTATAGTTTTTCTTTGGTATTTATTATGTTTAAAGTTAGTCACGTCTTTTTAGATCTACTTCAGAAATACACACTTAATACTCACTCTGGCAGTTCATCTTTGTATTTCTGGTACCTGGTGGATGGCCTGGTACTTAGACACACTCAACCAATATTCTGAATGTGATTAAACTAAGTTGTAGTTCAAAATTTAGTAATTCAGAAGGTTATGCAAATTTATTATGAGTAAAGGATAAATTTCTTAATGATTTTTTAAATTCACACATATTAATCGTACATATTAGTGGGATTTCCTTCCTCATTGTTAGCTGTGGAAGTGTGTAGGGCCCTAGTTACCAAACCTTGCTTCCATAGCACCTTCCATACCTGCTGAGTCCTTCTTAGAGTTAACATATGGTTTGTCTTTCTTCCCTACCCTGCAAACTTCTTTTGAATTTGCATTTTATTAACACACAATAATTATACTTGATAATGGGGTACAATATATTTCTATACATGTATACAGCAAGTATGGATATAATCCAACACCCTTTTATTACCCTTGCCCCCAATTTCTSAATCTCTAATAATTAATAACATATTCTGCAGCAGAATACAATAGACACTAGCATTGCTGTATGCATTTACGTGGCTGTATAACCAATGTGATCCTGCAATCTGTACACGTGGAAAATTAAGAATTCATACCCCATTTGAATCAAATGTATGATATGTCAAGATCATTGTATTGTCATGAGCAACTGATAAAAAATAACATATTCTACTATAAATTCAGCTTTTTGCAATCTTCCACATGATACAGAATATGAGGTACTTGTCTATCTGAACATCTCCAGTTCCATTCATTTTTCAGAGTATTTCAACACTTGTCACTTAACATCTCCAGTTCCATTCATTTTTCAGAGTATTTCAAAATTTTGTTCTTCTTTATGACTGAATAATACTCCATGTGTAWACCTCCCACATTTTCTTTATCTATTCATATGTTGATGGGCACCTAGGCTGATTCTATTTCTTAGCTATTGTGACTAGTAGCACAATAAACTCAGGTATGCAGTTTTTTTATATGCTGATTTAATTTTCTTTGGATATATACCTAGAAGTGGGATAGCTGGATAATATAGTACATCTATTTTCAGTTTTCTGAGAAAAGTTCATACTGTTCTCCATAATGACTGGAATGATTTACATTTCTACCAACAGTGTATCAGTGTATAAGTGTTCCTTTTCTCCACATTCTTGTCCTCCTTTTTAAAAAAAATAATGCTAATTCTAACTTGGGTGGGATGGTATCTCATTATAGTTTTGATTTGCATTTTCCTGGTGGCTAATGATAATGAGTTTTTTTTACCATTTGTTTGCTGACCATTTGTATTATTATTATTATTATTATTTTTTTTTTTGGAGAAGTGTCTATTCAGACCATTAGCCCATTTTTAAATTGGACTATTTTTGTTAAGTTTTTTTTTGAGTTCTTTATATATTGTGGTTATTAACCCTCTACTTGGTAAATATTTTCTCATATATTGTAGAATGTCTCTTGACTCTGTTGATGATTTCTTTAGATGGATACGAACATTTTAATTTAACCTATCTATACATTTTGTTGTTGTACCTATGCATTTGGAGGTCTATCAGAAAATTCCTGCCTGTACCAAAGTCTTGAAATGTTTCCCTATTGTCTTCTAACAGGCTCAGAATTTAAGATCTCATATTTTAGATGTGTGGTCCATTTTGAGTTGATTTTGCAGAGTGAACATAGTGGTCAAGCTTCAGTCTTCTACGTGTGAATAATCACTTTCCCCAGCACCATTTATTAAAGGTGTCTTTCCTCCAAAGTATGATTTTGGTACCTTTGTTGACAAACAGTTGGCAATAGATGTGTGGGTTTATTTATGGATTCTGTATTTTTGCCCAATTCGCCTTTGTATCTATTTTTTTATGCCAATATCATGCTTGATTTGTCTGTAGAATGTTTTAAAATCAAAATCAAATATTGGGATGCCTCCAGCTTTGCCCTTTTAGTTCAGACTGCTTTGGTTATGTTGGGTCTTTTGTCCTTCCATATATATTTTATGATTGATTTTCTAGTTCTGTGAGGAATGTCACGGTTTTTTTGTTTGTTTGTTGTACCAGGGTTGAACCCAGGGGCACTTAGCCACATCCCCAGCCCTTTTTAAATTTTGAGACAGGATCTTGCAAAGCTGCTTAGGGTCTTGCTAAGTTGCTGAGGCTGGTTTTGAACTTGTGATCCTCCAACTTCAGCCTCCTGAGCTGCTGGGATTACAGGCATGTGCCACTGCGCCTAGCTATCATTATATTTTGGTGGGGATTGCATTGAATCTGTAGATCACTTTGGGTAGATGGACATTTTAACAATATTAATTCTTCCAATCCATGAACATGGAAGATCTTTTCTTTTTAGTGTGTGTGTGTGTGTGTGTGTGTGTGTTCCCCAATTTCTTTCACCAGTATTTTAGAATTTTCATTGTAGAGGTCTTTTACTTCCTTGGTTAAGTTTCTTGCTAAGTAATTTTTGGATGTGTGGCTATTGTAAATGGGACTGCCTTCATAATTTATTACTGAGCAAATTTGTTATTGGTGTATAGAAAAATCTAATGATTTTTTTTTGTGTTGACTTGAATCCCTGCTACTTTAATGCATTTGTTTAATTATTAGTTCTAATAGCTTTTCAGCGGAGTCCTTAGGTGTTTTTTTTTTTATGTATAGAATAGTATCATCTGCAAACAGGAGTAATTTGATTTCTTTCTTTTTACTATCTATATGCCTTGCATTTCTTTCTCTTGCCTAAATGCTCTAGCTAAAGCTTCTAGTACTATACTGAATTAGAGTAGTGAAAGTAGATACCATTGTCTTATACCTAGGCTTAGAGGAAATGCTTTCATTTTATTACAATTCAGTGTGATGTTGGCTGTGGATTTGTCATGTACAGCTTTTATTATGTTGAGGTATGATCCTTCTATAACTAATTCTCAGGAATCTTATGAAGGGATGTTGAATTTTATCGTATGCTCATTTCTGCATCTATTGAGTGAGCATACACTTTTTATCATTCATTTGTTGATGTGATTTACATTTACTGAATTTCAAATACTGACTTGTGTATGTTGCAAAAGATGCAAACCATCTTTGCACCCCTAGATTGAAACAAATTTAATCTTGGTATATGATCTTTTTACGTGCTATTGTACTTGATTTGCTAGTATTTTGGTGAGGAGGCACCTGCCTCTGGGTGCTATGTAGGCCATAAGTTTTCTCCTTCCAATTCCTTCAGGTGCAGTGCTCACAGGAGTGAATTAGGGTGGAACATGGCCAGAGCCAGGCAAAGTTTCTCTTCAGATCCCCTTTGGTCATATGTCYTGGGCCAGGGTAATAACTAAAGCTGTGGTTTTTCTCAAGGCTGCCTTAACTTGGCATGCTAGCAGTGAATCCACAGAGCTCTTTCCCGACCCTGTTCATTACAGGTACCTGTGTTTGGTACTTGTGCAGGGGTGGCAGGAAGCAGGTAGGTGACTCAGTTGTGGCATCAGTATGAATCTGAATGTAACCTGACATGCCCCTAGTCTCAGAGGGCAAGCTCCAGAAGCTCCTGGTTCTTGTGGGTGGCTCCCTTCTCCTCCAAATCCATGTGTTGATTCCATACTGTGCAGGCCACATGGCAGGTTAGGTCAGAGCCCTTCTTGTGAGTGGGCCAAATTTGGTTTGGAAGGCAGCTACAGAGTGCAGTGGAATATCTCTAGGGTCCTGGAAATATGACCAGAGGTTTCTGACTCCTAGTCCAGTCCAAATTCAGACAATAGGTCCCTTCTCAAGATGGGTCCTGGCTTCAGCATCTTGGGGATTTACTGGAGATGATGGGAGATCTTTTTACAAAGCCAGACTTCCGTGAAGATTTCAAGTTATTTACTTAAGAAGGCTGAAAGCCTGTGGGGATTGTGAAGCTTTCCAATAGCTAGGATTGCCAGCAACCATACATACTGACTGGGCTGGCTGAGACTTTCACCCTCACTCCTGCAGAATGAAGACCCATTCCGTGCAAGMTCTGGAGCCAGGGTATTTTGTTTTCCCTACTATGCTGTTTTAGTGGGTCTCTGACTCTTAATAAGGCTCAAGTTTCTCTCTCACTCATTTCCAGCATTCTCCCATGGTCACGCACCGTAAAATGGAGCTACATACCTCTTGCTTCAGTTTTTCTTTGTGAAACAATGAGTGAGTTCTGGGTACCTCTATTAAGGCATCTTGAAATTCTTACATTGGCTTTAAATAGTCAACAATATGAAGGCGATATAAAGAAAGCTTACAATATTTAACCCCACATCTAGTCTGTTTGGGACTCTCTCTTAGGTCTGGGTTTCCTTTTGGGATTGTTTTCCTTAAAGCTTAAAATCTTTCTCTAGTTCTTCTTACAGAGCTGTTCTGCTTTTGAATTGAATTTTCATATTCAGTATTTTATTTGCCTGTAAATATCTTTATTTTACTTTTTTTTTTTTTTGGAACTGGGGATTATTCACTGAACCACAACCCCAGACCCCCTTTTTAAATGTTATCTAGAGACAGAGTCTAGCTGACAACTCAGCTAGAGTTGCTTAGTGCCTAGCTGAGTTGTTTAGTGCCTCCCTAAGTTGCTGAGGCTGGCTTTGAACTTGCAATCCTTCCACCTCAGCCTCTGGAGCCCCTGGGATYACAGGTATGCGCCACTGTTACCTGCTTTTGTTTTTGAAGAATACTTTCAGTGGGCAAGTAATCATATGTTGAAAATGTTTTTAGCCTTCTATTTTTTTTTTCAGTCCCTTCTGACCTTTATAGGCTAAAATTCTATTRTCTTTTGAGTTCAATTTTGCAGGAAGAGAATTCAGCCTTATATTTAAATTTTACAAAATGAAATATTTATTTTATGCCATTCTGGTTGCTTTCAAGATTTCCTGTCTTTTATTTTCACCAGTTTGACTCTCGTGTGACTAGCTGTTGTGCTTAGATGATTGAGTTTTGAGACACTGGATCTGTGACTTGATGTCTTCCCATAAATTTTGGAAAGTTGTTGCTGATTATTTCTTCAAATACTTCTTCTGTCCCTTTCAAATATGTGTATGTTAAATTATCTGAATTTGTTACAGAGGTCTCCAGCATTCTGTTATTTCTACTGTTGCTATTGGGTTGTTTTTTTCTCTGTGCTTCAGTGTGGGTAATTTCTAATAATTTATCTTTGAGTTTACCAATAATTTCTTATGCTATGTCCAGTCTTCTTGTAAACCCACCCAATGAATACTTCATTTCAGGGACTGTGTGTGTGTGTGTGTGTGTGTGTGTGTGTGTGTATAACATACTCTGTCTACTAATTAAAAATTCTGGGTAATTTTTTGTTCTAGTTCAATTGGTAGTTTAGCATGATTTACATCTACTGGCTTTTAAATATTTTTTTCTGGATTTTGATTGTATGCCAGAAACTAATAATTTTCCTTTCAAAGTTTTGTCCTTTAGTCTGCCCATGTTAAGAGTAGCTATGGTTAGGAGTTTATTTGCTTAGTCTAATGTGTGATTGTTCTCAGTTGGCACTGAACATTACTTTTAGTTAAGCTCATATTTCAAGAATTTTGAAGGTGCAGTAAGATGCATCCTTTTGGGCTTTAAGTGTAGCAGGGCTTTGTTAAAGCACTCTGCTTTGGATGCCTAAATCCAGCTTTCTTACACTGGCACTTATTTCTCTCTCTCTCTCAAAAAAAAAAAAAAAGGCATAAAGAATTGAAGAATTATTGTGGTTGGGTGTCTTCTAGGTTTCAATCCTCCATAATAGCCACATAACCATTACAAGATGCCCAGTTTTCCATTAACTTCACCACCTTGCTTGGCTTATGGCAGGTTTGGTTTTTCTACCTACCAATGCCTCATGCCTCCATAACTTTCCCAGTGACAAAAACAAAGATACATGCTGTATTCTAGTAAGGGCCACCTTTCTCTTAAAGGTAGTTCATTTAATCATTTTTGCATCCGTAGTTCTTCAATGCAGTTAAAGATAATAACTTTTATTTTTCCCTTTTTACTTTCTGTAGTATTCCCTCATTGTTATACTAAGACTAATGGTACTTAGTAAACTTCATCCTAATAAGAGTCCTTTGTCTTTTTACTATGAATCAATTAATCTTTGGGTCTTCCTTTCTTTCTGATAAGTTATTAGTGTTCTGGATTCATCATTTGCATGTTTTCTGCCTCACACTTACATTCAGCCATTTTTTTCCAAGGAAATCATCCGTTATTATGAAAATATTTTGCTATGAATTCTCATTGCTAATGGATATCATTGCTTGTATACTTCTTCGATGATAAGGTTAAGGTATAACTATTTAAGTAAGAAATCATGAATTCATGCTGTGATTTTCACTCTAAAGATTACAGTGTTTTAATTTCTTTGACTATATTCTTGTATCTACTTTTTTATGCAGAAAGTCTTAATTCCTATAAATTATAAAATTTTGCTTCATCATACAATATGCAATAGAATTCTTTCAAAAGACTTCACAAAAATCACACTAGCATTAACATTTCTGAATTCAGGTTTTTTTGTTGCTAATTTTTTCCTCAAAGTTCATTGTACTAGAAATGTACAGTTGAAATAATATATTGCAGAAATGCTTAATTTTTAAAAGTGTAGATTGGAGGCCAATTTTATATATTAGTTTTTTTTTAAGTTTGTGTCTAAGGGATACTTTTCCTTTTGTTTAAAATACAAAAAGGACATAATAATTTTACATATTTASTGAGTCAAATTATAAAACAAGATACATTTAAAGAAGACTCAAATTTTATTCATGTCTCTTCACCCTATTCCTTCTTTTCCTCTCTTCTACCTACACAAATATAAATCACATAGCATTTTTATAGCAAAAAATAGTCTTTTAGTGAGGGTTGTCTAAATAAACATAGAGGAAATACTACAAGCAAATAACATACTCCTGACTACCCCAATCAGTTGGAGATTAAACTAAACATTACACATGAAAATACTTTAAAAATGTTGCATTCTTAAAGTGGTCAGTTTGTTTTTGTCTGACTTTCAAAAATCTATTTAAAATTTCCTTCACTCAAAAAAAAAAAAAACCTCTCACTCTCCTATATAGTTTAATATTATAGTTCTGAACTTTAGTGCTTGAGCTATGATTTTATAATAGCATCCATTGTATTTTCTTTTTTGAAAAATTTTTAATTTTACTTTTTTCCGGATAGAAAGAAAGAAAACTGGCTGCACATTTTGGTGGATGCTCATAATGCTAATGGCTGAGGAGGAGATTGAGGCAGAAGGGCAGAGTACGTGGCTCACTTGTTGAACACCACTGGGTTCAGTCCTTGGTACCAAAAAACAACAAAGCAAAACCCCTGGAATAAATTTGAGTTACAATTTACATAGCATGGTAARAGAGATTAATACTAACAACATTTATACATTTATGTTCATTGTGGTGGTATTAAGCAAGAAAAAGTTACAATGCAAAGGAAATTCCAAGTAATACATAGTCAAAAATTTGTTAAAAATGGGTAAAATCTATGATTATTTTAACAACATAATGTTCTCTTTGCTTTTTCTTCCATACAGAACTCTTTTTCCCTTTGTTGGCCCTACTGTGGAGGTCTAAGAAAGATACAACCAGTGCAAAGTTTGGGGGATTAAATTTCACAAATATATTTATTTTTTTTCATGAAAATCACCATCTGATACTGTTCAAGAGCTGATTTTCACATCCTTGTAGAACATTTTATTTTTCAAGTGAATACTACACCACTGTGTTGTTTTAAACTTGGGTTTCTAAAATATAAAATTATGAGAGAATTCCCACCACTCTACTGTATGTATCTTTTATATGTAGAATCTTGAATGTGCAGGATGGGAGGCACCATCCAATAGAAGAGAGAAAAACAAAAGAACCAAACAAAAACACCCTTGCAAAATACGGAGGAACCTTAGCGGTGAAGGCCATGCAACTTCCAAACACCATCTGCTCCCCCCCCCCCCCCCCCCCCCCCCCCCCCCCAGGGAGCTTATGTCTAGGCAAAAGGAACAGAAAGAACAGCTCCCATCTCCTCCACTCCATCACAACCCTAGAGGAGACAGCCCAGCCAAGGTGTGAGTTTTCTATAAACCACAAGTGGAGTCCTGGCTGTATTGAGATAAGTCCACGAAACGTATGGCCCGGATACCTTGGGATGAACAAGAAGAATAGGAGACCAGCTCTGGGTCTTTTCTCACCATGTGTTTCATGTCGGTCGCCGGGGGGTTGACAATGGCCCTAAATTCGTTGTGGGTCTGGACGCACTCGTCTATAAATTGTGGGTCTGTGTTGGACGGGACTGGAAGTTTGCTGGCCACTACACATAGACTTAAGGTCCACAAACTAATAAGATTTTTAAGAGCCATGGAGGGACAAGCASCATGTCCCAACCGCACCAACCAGTAACGGCTGGGGAAGCTGGATTTCTGCCACCCCAGGGGCCACGCTCTCACCGGACTCCATCCTCTGCACGAGCTCGAGCGGGCGCGGGGAAGCCCCGCTCATTGGGCAAAGCCCTCGGGGCAGGGCGGGCTCGCGGCAGGATCCGCCCCCCCCCCCCCCCAAGTCAAAGTTTTAACTCTCCCAAGAGCTTTCTGCGGCTCTGATCGTCTTGAGTCACTGCCTGGATTGTAATACAGTTGCAACACGGAGGAGGCGGCACCACATTATACAAAGAACAAGGTGTATTGGACGCTGACAAAGGATCAGTCCTGTGGAAAACCCTAGGCATTAGTTTTACAGACTCAGCTTCTGGGTATAGCATTCGTATTGTTTTAAATAAACTACTGCAGAACTTTGCCCCCTTCCTCAGAGACTGGGGATTAAAGTAGGCGATTTGTAAACTCGCCGTCACACTGTGATCCAAAGTTATTACCTTGCTAAACATTTAAACATTTGATTTGCTGCTGCCTTCTCCTCTTCCTCTTCCTCCTCTTTCCTCTCCGCCCTACCCCCTTTCTTCTTCTTCCTTCCTTCCTTCCTTCCTTCCTTCCTTCCTTCCTTCCTTCCTTCCTTCCTTCCTTCCTTCCTTCCTTCCTTCCTTCCTTCCTTCCTTCCTTCCTTCCTTTCCTTTCCTTTCCTTTCCTTTCCTTTCCTTTCTTTCTTTCTTTCCTTTCTTTCTGTCTTTCTTTTTTTTTTTTTTTCCTACCAAAGAGACTGCCTAGAGACTTCTAGTTATAGAAATAAGTTCTGGTGTTCTATTGCAGGGTGATGAGAGATTGTGATAGAGAAGATGGAAGAGGGGATTGGTAATATTCTCATTGTGGGGAAATGRTAAGTGTTTCATGACATAGATTTGTTTATCCTGATTTGAATACTACACAATGTATATGTGCATCAAAACATAACAAATTTCCCCATAAATATGTACAAATTTTTGAGTCAATTTAAAAAAAAAAGAAAAAGAGAAATGTCTTAACAAAATGTCTGAATTTTATAGGCGTGGTATTTTAAACCATGTTTCTAGTGGCTTAGGGAATTATATTTAGAAATACTGAAACAATTGAGGTGTACTAAGCCTAAGTGCCAAGAATAGGCAAGATTGTGTCTTAAAGATGTTTTCTTGATCTGTTTGTGGAATGACTAAGATTACTTGACAACTAGAGTTTTTCAGTCATTTTTTAAAAGTTTAGTTTTTTGTTTCTGTTTAATTTTTTAACAGTTGATTTTTGCTTTTCTTTCTTTCGGGGTAATGGGTGGATGAATTTTATGGAGTGTAGAGAAGAAATGGAGTGATTATGTTATATCCATCAATTTTACTATTTTAATGTTTTCAAAATATATGTATATTTTTACTCTAAAAATGCCTTCAATTTGTAAATTTGGATACATATTTTGAGGGGTGCTAATTTTGAAAAGATACTAAAGATTACAAAAAAAAAAAAAAACAAACCAACAACATGATTTTTTGCGAAGGGAATTAGATTAGGCTTCATAACATCTTAATTCTAATTTGGGTATCTGACATTTGGCTGTGTAATTTAGGAAAGCTGTCGTACATTATATTGGAGTGGAACCTTAATAATATATGAAAACAGTTTTTCACCTTATGAGTAAGGAGTTGATGCTCAAAGACATTGTGTACAGAGTGAGGCTAAAATTTTAGTACGGTAAAAAAATAAAACGAGGTTTCCTGATTTCTAGGCCTGTACCCTTTCGGTTACACCAACATTTTAAAATGCAGTTTTACATATTATATAGAATATATGTATATATATATATATATATATATATATATACACACACACACACACACACACACACATGCAACATATATGTGATAATGTAAATGTACATACGTGCATACTTATTTAAATTAATATCCAAATCTGTTTAATATCTATACTTCTCTATAATGTTATTCTGAAATATTGTCTTTTTGAATAATTGCAAGCTCCTTGACAGCAGATCTGGGCGCTGAGCATAAAATGTAGTTACCTAAGAAATATATTAAATATAATTCTATTCAATTAATCGCACAACTGCGGCGGATCCATGCCGGGCCATGGCGCTCTCCCTGCGCTGGGAGTGAGTCCGTTCCAGCTCCCCGCCTGGGTTTAAGGGCTCCCGGAGCTGGTTCCTGGTGTGGCGCTGGCGGGGCCTGAGAAGATTTCCAGCCAGTGCACTTCGTACTGCGGGGTAAGGTTGCCCAGCGGAATTTCGGGGCGCAGGCCCGCGGGGCGAAGGTACCGCAGACACATTTGGGGGGCGACAGTTGGCATGCAAGGAGCTAAAGAGGCGGGCTGAAAAATAAAACGTCTTTTGCTTTCCGCTTGGAAGCAAAAGACGACAGTTAGAGGCCCCAGCGGAGGCGCCTGTTGCCGGGCAACCTGCAGACGCTGGCCTGCTGTGTCGCCTCTCCAGGGACCTGCCCCTTCCAGCCAGTGCTGTTTGACACCGCCGTCTGAATGGGTTCTGGGGGAATCTCCCTAGTTTATGCCTTTTCCAGCCCTCCTGGTCCGGATCTGGGCTTTACTGAACTTGTTAGGTCAAGTCAGGTTGGCTGTTCCCTGTGGCCCTAGCCTCTTCATGATTCCCAGATGGAACTGGATGAGGAATTTCTTATGGTTCACAGCAGGTGCTCTGAAGTATAATTTAACTGTGGGGAGAGGGCAGTGATGTTGGGGAAAGGAAGATTGCTGTACTTTGTTTCACATTAACAATGAYCTCAGGTTCAATTTCAGATACCAGCGTCAGTTATCACCTGGGATCCAAGAAAGACTTAGTTCTACCCACCTGGAGCTGAAATACTGAATTGTATTGACGAATCTCTTCCTTCTCTCCTGGAGTAGATCAGTTTTTTATTTCCTTTCTATTGTGTTCTGATTTTGCATATGCAACTTAATAGCCACCAATAACCAAGAGAGAAATGATGATAATTGGAATTGGAAATAATCGTTGTTAAAAGTGAGGGAAGTGGGAGATGAGTTCAATTCTTTGGGGCTGCATCAAAGACACTAGTCAACAGCACTATTACATGCTAGCAAAAACATAACTTGTAGCAATTTGAGTGGGGACCAAAGCCATTCAAAAGTACTCTTCCCTCTTCCTGCCAACTCCCATTCAGTCCCCACCCATCTTCGTCAGTATGCATTCCAAAGATGGATTCCCAGCCATTTGTTTGAAATGCTGATTCTTGGGTCCCCAAGTTTAGGTTTTTGGTGTTCTGTAGTCCCAGCAGCAAAATTCCTCTCTGATGCAACTAGTATCTGTATGTACCAGCATAGTTTAGTACTGTGAAGAAGTCTGAAACCTTACGAATTCAGGCTCTGCAATAACTGGCAAACAATTTGGCAAAGTAAGATTCACTTTTCCAGGTATCAGTTTGCTCAGTTTGAAAATCAGAAGGTTAGGCTGTTTTACCTTTGAAGCCCTGGTCAAATCTTAAGAGTCTCCAGACAGGGTGTTGGTGACCTGACCGCTTTAATTTTGTAGATGCCAGTGTTCCATGTGTGAAGGCACTGCCTTTTGAACACTCTTAACTGTATCTGAATTAATTATTTTTAAGTTATGTAACTCTGAATTAACTTGTATCTGAATTGACTGAATTAACTTATTCAACAAATACTAAGTTCTTACTATTTTCTAGGCTTTCTGCTAGGTCCTGAGATAAGGTTAAATAAAACCAGTAGTAGTCCTTGCCTTTATGAGGCTTACAGTTTGATATTGAGTAATAATTGCTATGAATAATAGCTTCTATTCAATGCTTTAAACACCTTATCCAGTTGCTTGAAGACAGGATTTATATGTTGGCATTATGATTGTCATAACTGGGTTCGGAGAAGTGCAACTAACCTAAGAATATCTTTAAAGTATGTACAGGTATTTGGTGGTGCACTAACTTATTTATTAACTAAGTAGATATTTGTTAGGTGCCTAAGTTATACTAAGGGCAAGAGATATCAAACTTTTTGGTCGTGACAGTTTATTAGAGAAATGAAATAAGCTAATTACAATGAAGAGTAATGACTGTGGTTTCTGGGAAAGCACAGGGACTAGGAGAAACAGGATATTTGAAGGTTTAAATTTTGTCAGTTTTATTACTATGCAAATGAATTGTAGGAGATTTAAGATGACCAAAAGTGATTTGAACTGGCTGTAATAATTATTAAGGTACAAAGTTGAGAGGCTGGGAGAAAAATAAGAAAATGTGTGGAGAAAATTGTTTAGCTGACTGCTCAGTATAGTCTCAACTTGGATTTGTTAGCTGGTAATCATCATAGCAAATAGGATAACTTTTGTGATGCTATTAAACAAACTACCTATGGGGGTGGGGAGCACCCACACAACACAAACAAATAACAACTTTAAAAAGTTGATTCTTCTTGAAAGATAATTCTGAAAAGAAAGCCATTTGCAGGATTATAGGAGAAAATACTCCTATAATCAGATGATTTGTGATATTTTTAGGATATGTGCACTCTTGGTTGATCAATTTTGAATTTATTCTTTTTTTTTTTTTGGCTCTAGGAATTTAACCCATGGGTGTTTTACCACTCAGTTACATCCCTAGTGAGCCCCTCCCATTTCTTTTTTATTTTGTTTTAATTTTTTGGAGCACGTCTCATTAAGTTGCTTAGGAATTCTCTAAGTTGCTGAAACTAACCATGAACTTATGATCCTCCTGCTTCAGTCTTCTGAGCCACTGGGATTGCAGGCATGAGCCAAGATGCCCGGCTTGAATTTACTTTTTTTWWAAAAATTTTTATTTGTTTTAACTAGTTATACATGACAGTAGAATGCATTTATGTACTTTGATATATCATACATAGATGGTATGTAATTTCTCATTTTTCTGAGTGTACATGTTGTAGAATCACATTGGTCATGGAGTCATATATATACATAAAGTAATAATGTCTGTTTTGTTCTACTATCCTTCCTATCCCCACATCCCCTCCCCTCCCCTCCCTTCACTTCCCTCTACCTAATCTAAGGTAACTCTATTCTATAGTGTTCCCCACCCCCTTATTGTGAATTAGCATCTTCATATTAGAGAAAATATTTGGTCTTTGTTGTTTTGGGATTGGCTTATTTTGCTTAGCATGATATTCTCCAACTCCATCCATTTACTGGTAAATGCCATAATTTCATTCTTCTTTAAAGCTGAGTAATATTCCATTGAATATATATACCACATTTTCTTTATCCATTCATCTATTGTACTCTCAAGAGTAGAATTGCAGGGGGGTTGTGGCTCAGTGGTAGTGTGCTCACCTAGCATGTGCAAGGTGCTGGGTTTGATTCTCAGCACTGCATAAAAATAAATAAATAAAGGTATTGTGTCCAACTACAACTAAAAAAAAAAAGTAAAATTTCAAGCTTAAGGCAACAGTTTTTTAGGAGTGAAAGAAAACCACACAGATGAGTTAGAAAGGAACTGAGATTTTAGATAAGAAAAATGTAGTGAGCCTGAAATAAAATTACAATTTTAATAATAACCATAGTTTTCATCTATTGAATGTTACTTTATTCCATCAAAATGAGAAAGATGCTAATGAGTAAGTTGTAAATTTATTTTATACATTAGGAACATTGGCTTAGAAATTAAGTTCTTACCCAAGCTTAAATTATGTGAAAGTAGCAAAAATCAGGATTTTAATACAATTTATCTAACTCAAGCTGGCACTATGCCATACTACGTTTCTCAAAAAAAAAAAAAAAACCACAAATAAAAATAGTTTGCTATAAAAATAAATCCAAGTTTAATGATAAAAAAGTATGAATGAATTCTTAAACTGGTAATATAAAGGTGAATTATAAACTAAAATACAAACAATTTTGTTGACAGATATATTAATCTGATTTTATTTTGTATGTATTTGAAAGTTGATTATTTTCAATGGTCTTTTGAAAACATAGTTACCACATAGTTACTAATTGGATCATTCATTCTATTTGATTCTTTGTATTAAGTAAAGAATACTGTTTGCTAAAAATATTTTCATCAGCCTACTCTGACACAAGGAAAATCCACCAAGCTTTGGGAAATGGGTAAATGACTGAATAAACATATGTCTCATTGTGTGGATAAGAGAGATATAGCAGTATACTATTACTACTGTAAAAAAAATTATCACAGACTAGTCGCTCAAAGCAACATAAATGTATTCTTTTACACATCTTGAGGTCAGAGTACAAAATGAGCCTAAAGGATCTAAAACCACTGTGGTCAACAGAGCTGTTTCCTTTTGGAGGCTTCAGGGGACAAACCATTCTTAGTCTCTTCTGCCTTCTGGAAGCTGTCTGTGACCTCTCCCTCCATCCTAGAGCTAGTTCCAGAGCCAGCCATAGAGCATTGTGGCTCCTCTCTGACCTATGCTTCCATCCTTACATTTCTGTTCACTGTAATCTCCCCCCCCCAATAAGGACATGAAGGGGGTCACATTGAGCTCACCAGATAGTAGAAGAAAATCTCTCCATCTCAAAATTCTTAATCAAATCTGAAAAGTCCTTCTGGCCATGTAAGGTACATATTTAGAGTCCAGACATTTCAATGGGGATCTCTTTGGGAGCAGACTACCACGGGGTATAATGTAATTGCCCTATACAAATATGATTCTGATGAAAGAAGTAAAAGTGATTGACCATATGATTTCTTTCTATGAAGTATTATTATGTAAGTTGTATGACTTATTTAAAACTAGATAGGCATTATCATTTTACATTTGTTTTGCCTTTTTGAAAGTACCAGGATACTGCATGAAAAATACGGGAACTTGAATGGATTTGGAGGTAAAAGGAGTGGCTACTTCTCCTAGGAGCCAATCTCAGCTACTCTTGAGAAGAAAGAAGCCACTACAAGTATGTAAATAATCTAGTTTTCCTCTTTCATGATGACTCACTAAATAATTTTATGAGTCCTTTCTTCATGCTTTGATGACTAATTATATTCACAAATATTTAGATTAATGTTTCCTAGATTTGGACAATGGAACCACCAAAATTGAAGTTAATTATTACTAGAAAACTCACTGAGTTAGTTTTTTTTWAAATCATGCTTACCATTTTATTATTGTTATTTAAAAATCATCCATGTGTCTATAAAAAGTCTAAAAGAAAGAAGCAATAATAGAGAGAAGAACATATCAATATTTCCTTCATGAGTATGTGCCCTATTACATTTTGATGGATTTATGTATAATTGGTACACTATTGCAAACTGCAAATATAATTTTATGTTACTTTTAAAATGCATTTTCTATATTATCAAAAACTCTAAAAATGTGTTTAGTGGTTATATAATATATAGTATAATTTATATTCAGAGGAAGTTTTAGAAGATCATAAACCAAACTTTTTAAAATGTACACTAGGTTTATTTAAAATAGAATCTCTGTGACTACATTCTTTTGCATTTTTTTTTTATTTATAATGTGTTTAGTGCAATGCGAGGTGCTAAAGACCCAACAATAAATGAGATGTAATAAATGATCCTGTAGTTAATCTTAAGATTTATGATTCCGAGTGTTAAATTCAACTAAAGAAATAGCTACAAAAGTATAAAGGCAGAAAGAAGAGGGGTTTGGCAATGGTAGAGAAGATTTCAGTGAAGAATGACATCTGTATGCACTAGAATTAGCGTTTGATTTGCAAAAAAGGTGGAGAAGGGAAGCAGGGTCCTGATGATTGCATCCTCAAAAGGATAGAAGTACAAATATCCAACTTGCGATTTTTATATTTAAACCAAAATTAAAATTTTTTTTGTAGAATATTACATTTTCTATTAGCAATGCAGGAAGAGAATCCGGGCTTTTATTATTAGGACCTTTATTCTTCTCAGCCTTCACGATATCACTGTTGTAGATTTCATCAATTAATTAAGTGAAATCTTAAAGTTACTTTGTCCCTGCATCCACATAGAATTGGATAAATGGCACATTTAATTTAAAGGTATATGAAAGTGATACACATCTCTTTGCTATTTTTATTATAGATACTGAATACCTACTGATTATCATTGACCATAATAAAAGTCTGAATAACATATAAATCAAACCGTGAACCTTAGAGGTGGGCACTATTATTTGCCTGCTGCTTTTAGATATGCAAGAACTCAGGTTTCTAGAGATTAAGTGACTTGCTAGTACTTTGAACTCTAGTTCTGACTAACCCTTATATGAATGGGTGAATGCTTTGGAGTTCTTATGGTTTACTATTTTACAGTTTAAAATTTCAAGTCATTGATAATTTGGGTCGAAGCCCTTCTCACTAGTTAAAATATCAAGCATAGTATCACAGCCTTTTCCACTGATTACTTGGTTATCAGATTATGGAAACTTCAGGTTTTTTTTCCCCCTGGTTAATTATTAGGAAGATCTCAATGTTTAGATTCTGAAAATAATAGCTTCTGTAATTACCTTTTTCTGTAAAAATAAAACCTGCCTTATGTCTTACTAACTATATCTATTGGTAGAGTTAGGGGACATGYTTATGCTTATCTTGAACTATTGTTTTTTTTTTTTTAATTAATCCCAGATTGTTCTTACAGTTTATTAGCCAGGTGTCAATATAGTTGAAGCCTAATTACTAGGTGCTATTTCTGGAGTGTTTTAAGAAGAATAGTATTTAAAAAATGAGATCATATAAGCTCTTTAAAAAAAATCTGATACTTATTAATACAAGTATCATCATTACAAACACTAACAACAGATAAATAGATAGAGATAAGAACATGAGAAGTTGTTCAGATCCCAGGTTAGGCAAGGGGATTTAAGTTAACACGATACCTTTATGCCTCTATTAAATGTTTATTTTTTCATTTAAATGATCCTTTTGGAATTTTGCCATTTCCACATCTTAAATATTAGAATAGTATTTGAAACAATGTCATATTAAAGTTGATATTGAGTTAAATTTGTATCTCTTACTCTGATGGTAAATTATAGTCATAAAGCTCAGTCTTGAATGTAACAGCCCATGCTTCTATCAATATTATAAAAAAAACACCCGGTTATATAACATTTCAGCAGTAACTTGGTTTTGGTGGAAGTGGTTTTCTCCCTTTTCTTTTCATCTGGCTATCTCCTCATTCTTTAGAACTCCCTTTAAGGGTTTGCTTTCTGGTTTGCAAAAATTTCCTTAATTCCCTAGAGTAGGATGGGTACACTTGCTACACAGTTGCTCTGTCATAGACTTATTTTTCTTGTTATTGTTTGAGCGATGTCTTCTCTGACAGACAGGGCTATATGGGTAATAATTGTCTTGCATATATTGTTTTATCTATGCCTCATAGACAGCAAGGAAGGACTTAATAAGTATTTTTATATAGAGTTTATTGAAAGAAATTATAATTAGTTTTGCATTGATGCATTGYTTGTCATTTAAAACATAAAGGGTATATGCATACTGATTCTAATTTTTATTTTTAAAATAAAGCAAGGATGGGTTTCCAGATCATGGGCAACTCCGAATCCCTACCCACCTATGTAAGTAATATTTCTTTACATTTGAATTGGTTAATGGGCAAATATTTGTGATGCCTTGCCAAGTTAAGAATGAAAGAAAAATTATGTGTGTACATATGTTTGGGAACTACAGAAAAACCTATTTGTATATGGAAGTTGTCGGAGACCAGCTCCAACTGGGGGTCTCAGGAGACAAACAGATGGTGAGGAGTCAGCGAAAGGGGGGTGGAGAAACAACACAGACACCAAAGTGAAGGTGTTGATCCCAATCTTTACTTGTGAAGTTGATCATATATACTTTTCATTTTGGCAGGCTCACAGTACTTTGTGGTTACAAAACAGGAATCATTATTCAAAGAAACAAAATATTACCTAGGTACAATTAGAATAGAAGAATGTATCTTGGCTTAGGCATAAGCAAGCATTTGTACTTTCAGTTCGAGTTTTGCTTTGAGCTGTTTCTGCTTAGTTAACTTTTAATAATAGTTAGAAATGTCCCAAACTATTGGCCTATACCTTGATTATTCTTTCTTGACTTACTGACTGGAACTGGTGCCATGGTTGCAGCAAGTGGTTGACGTTATTAATTTTAATCAAACACGAGTAAGAGCACAAACCATTGTGCACAGGAACAAGAACAAGTTGCCCAGTACTAAGCACTAATCTGTCTTCTTAACATTAATTTTTCTTCTCTAGATTTTAATTTAATTTCTCAAAAACTTCCTTGACAGGAATACAGGGAGTTTTTCATTAGACATTAACAATTTATGCTCCACAGCTGAATCATTGCATTTAGAGCAAACAGATCYATTCTTTAGAAGTAGTTGCATTMATTGGGAAAGTCATGTTTTTTCCTTCATACTTAATGGTCATATGAGAAGTCACAACTATACTTATTAAAGGAATACAGAAACAAATCAGCCCATTCCCAGAAACATACTGTGCTCCTGCCATTGCCTGAGTCAGGGGAGGGGCGCAGCAGGAAGTTTTAAAAATTATTATGCCAAAATCATCTTGTGATAGAATGGTAGGATTATGAGTAAAACTTCTTTTGTTTTATTGACTTCAAGATTATTTTCATATTTTCCTGAAAAAGGTAAAATATTTATTTATTAAGAAAATTCATTTTTATTATGCTATTTTAAAATTTCAGTTTATTTTTAATTGAGATGTAAGATTATAAAAGTTAAATATATTTATGACTCCATAAATAACAAATAACTCACTAAATGAATTTGTGAAAGAAATATATAACATTTTTATTTTTATAATTGGTATAGTCAAATTTAACTTAATGGTAAATATACCCATGCTCTAATCTTATTTTGAGGTATATTACAACTTAAACAAACTTATTAAAATTTGAGTTTTGGTTTAGAATACATTAATTTATGTTTTGTATTTTACATTTAAAATGAGTCAATATCTATAATTTCATGTGGTTCTACCTAGTAGATATCTGTCTGCTTATCTGGACATAAAGAATTATGTCCAGATACAAGGTATTGAGTACTAAGATACAAGGTACTGAGTATGTGGGAAGCCGTAGTCAATTATATGCTGGTAAATATTTAACAACTGGTGTTCCAAAAGTGTATTACAAGTTTACTATAACTTTTTTTTACTTTTTTATTATAAATAAATTTAAGTATATTTTAAGTTTATTATAACTTAGTGATAAGAGGTATACGTAGCAAGAAGTTTACAAATGCTAGTAAAACATATAACTCTTTATTGTAGTGTCCAGTTAGCCAATTGTTGGTCACAGAATACTTTCTTTGTTTTTTATTGACTCTATCTGTAGCCAACCTGTCTTCACTATGATGAACCATTGTAGTTCCATGTGAACTAAAGTGATTTTTCAAGCTATTTTTCTTTACTGTAAAGTGATATGAATTATTTTCTGGTAAAATCAATAATATTGAATACAGAAATAATTTTTTGTTATTCACCATTTGACAGCTGTGGACATGATGCACTCTTAGTTTCATCCGCATTATTAACACTTTCTCCACCATACTTTCAAGTCTCAGAAATCAACAAAGTAATAAATAAAGCCCTGAGTCATAGCATTTCCCTATTTCATCATGACTGATTTCAGACTGTCCACGTCAAATCAGTAAATGCRAAGTTGTAAAGTTGGGCACAATTATATCACAATAGAGATACAAGAAGTGCAGAGAGCCTCTGGAGTGTATAGTCCAGTGAAATCATTAGGAACTTATGAACTTTGAGTATTTATTACCTTTGTTCTTAATATAATTTATTTAATCACAATTTTATATAATTTTATTTTTAATATTGACTGCATTTAACCATTGGCTGAAAAATCCCTGAACATTTAACAAAAGATAATCACAATCTGGTGGGAGCCAGAATACCATTAGCTTTAGTGTGGCTTTATATGTGATCTAACATATGTGATTTGCATTTATCAAAGTTTCATTTGAAAATGTTATAAGATGTATTCTTATTTTTTTCAGGGTCCCACCACTTGATTTGGGAAGCCTTGTGAGCTCTGATGATGAGGTAATTTTTACTTCCTATTTTACATAATAAACACTTGAYCACTATATTACACATAGCATATACTAAAATACAATTAAATTTTATTTTTTAGGATGATTTTTCATATGTTCCACTTAATATGGTGCATAATCATTTTAACCGACCAAAGTCATCTGCTCTTGGTTGGGTCTCACCAGGTCAAATACCATATGCTCAGCATTATCTAAATGAACTGGTTAGTATATATTTGCTTATTACTAATTTTAAGAATTATACTATGCATTATTAGCACCATATTTGATCCAGAAATTTTTGTTTGAAAATCTCAAACAATAATGATGGTAAAATACTTTAGTTTGTTTTATATTTTTTTCACACATTGGAATGATATTTTAAAATTTTCTTTTGTGAAATTGGTAAAATACAGCTATATTCTAATATATCAGGCTACTAGAATACTATGGAGTACATAAATAACTATACTTAATCCAATGTGTCTCCTTGGGGCATGTTTACATTTTAAACAATTTTTAGTGAATGCAGGTTCTGACTAGTATTATTCTATGAATAGTACTTACCTTTCTGTCTTTGCATATCTCCATCATATAGCTGGTTCTATTCATGCTCTTCTCAGTCTCATTTTTGAAAACTGCATAAGTATCCTAATTTGTTTGTTGTTACAGATTTTGTCCTTAAGTTTTGCCTCATCCTTTTTTTTTCCTGGGTTAAATTTGGATGTCCTTAATAATTTTCAAGGAATGGACTGGTTTATATTTTCCTTTTGAAATGTCTATGCCTCTCTGGATCAATATGTATGCCCTTGTATTTGCTTAAAACTTCTTTTTGGTTCCTCTTATCCACTGGTTCCTCTTATCAATTATCTCTCATTCCCATGAAAATGTAGCATGGAATCAAATAATATCAGAAGGCAGAATATCTCAATATTTCAGAAATGGCAATCAGTGCTTCTCAGCATTCGTGATCTCCAATTCCTATAACTATTTTGGAAGACATGATTGACAATGGAAAACAAAAAAAGTGTCTACCTAAAACTTGTCAGAAGAAGGAAAAGTTTCTTTTTCTTCTCTCAGATTCTTTTGAAACCAGGATTGACCTTCAGCTGTGAAATCAAGTGTAAGATTATTGGTATTCAAATGCTCATTCTGAGCAGTTCTGTTGACTCTTATTGGTCAGCGATGCCATACAAGCTCAAGGTTTTTAAATATCATCTCTGTTTAGACCATAGGTTATAATGGYCCATTTCTTAAACATAAAGGGTGAGGTAAATGGTAAACCTGTTAATATCAATAAGGAAATTTAGTTATAGTAATTTATTTTTTTCTGAGAACAACAGACTTTTTTCTTTTTACCTCTAGGAACAGGACATAATACCTGAAAATTTGCCATCACCAACAGGCAAATACAAGCTAAAATATCAACCATATAAAACTGAAATGAAAGAGGGATATACACAATATAGTCAGAGAAGTTCAGAAAAGACAAAATCAAATATCACACATCAACAGCCTTCAAGAAACAAGATTGATGAAAAGGTAATAAGTGAGAGTTCTTAAGATTTAAAATTTAAAGCAAATAATTCATGGGTTATAGAAATCTCTTTCTAACAATAGCCAACATTTGTCTCAGTAGGCCAGGCCAATATTATTGTAATTATTTTACCTATATTAGCTAGCTTTTTCTACACAACATAATGGATTATTATCCCGTTTTCTGAATGCAGAAATTCTAGCCTTATCTAGACTTATCTTTTCTGTTAGAAGCTTTTTACTTGCTTTGAGAATGGAGTAAGAATATGTATGTACATATATATATATATATATTCTGTGGGAGTATAGTCTTTAAGTTTTAAAGTTGAAACCTCAGAATATATAGGGACCTATTTTATTCTAAAACTGCCATTATTTCCTGACTGACTTTTGCCTCATTTTAAGATTTTTTTAACCTTACAAATTGCTGAAATTGTTATGCTTTCATTAATATTTATTAGGTAAAAATTAGCATTTATGGATATAAGAGCAAATTAAATGTGATAAGCTTAATGGTATTTCATAAACATTCAGGAATTCAATCTTTATGTTTGGGAAGGCTTGAAAACAGTTTAAGGTACTACAGGCCAAAAATAAAAGAATATTTGGATATGATTTTTAATTTAGTTAACCTTCTATAAGAATTATGTATTTTTGGAGAAGTTTAATGGTTTTACTTGCTTATTTTCCATAGCTTAAAAAAAATGGAAATTTATAAGTAGGTGTGGCATTGCAACTATTTTTTTTTTTAAATCCATGTATGAACTATCTAGGACTAAATAAATCATGTTTAGGTGAAAGAATAATGAAATTATTTGGTTGCTTTTTATCATAAAACAAATTTCCAGACCTAAACATATGCAAACATTATCAGTTGATGTCTATAATATTATTATAGGATAGTCTCACAACCTTTACCAAGCAGCCATGTATTATTTGCAAAGTGTAATAGTAAGATCAGTGTAAATATGMTGGGACTGTAGGTTTTTGTAAGCACAAAATATTTTTAAAGTAAAACTTTAATTTCTTGGAACACAAGTTCAGATAAGGACACTTGTTTACTTTTTGTTTAAGAGAGGAACAAATATTATTTGCAAATCTSTCTATATGACTGATAAATGTTTATYTAGAATGGATATTTTACAGAAGCCAATCTAAGTGTATTTTCTGCTTAGATAAGATGTTGTTTGACTTCTTTGATTTTTTAAAAACATATATTAAAAGGGTGAAATTATTTAACATATTTTTGGTGTTTTTGCAAAAGAGCTTTTATAAACAAAAGGTCTTTTAAAATGTGTAGTACTGTGATTATCAAGACTATTATATAAATGAGTTATTGATAAATTCTACTACAATTACATGAGTTAACATTATAATGTTTGAAAATAGAAGTCCTTGATTTTAGAAATGGGATCCCCTCTTTTTAGAGCAGAAAGAAACATGTAAATTGATTTTCTTTATTGAGGAAGAAAAGTTAAGGTTAGATGTATTTAGGATCCAGGGCATTAACAGAGGCCATAGGTACTGACTTATCAGGCTAATACACAAGTTGACAAATCATCAGTTGGAACTTGATTCTAATTCCAAATTTCCTTTGTTGAGTTTTATTAATTACCACTTAGTATAAAATGGTGGTGAATTTCTAGTTACCCAATTTTTTTGCTACTGAAAAATGTACTCTCATGTGTGCATGTATACATTATCCGAAATATTGRAACATCTTTAAATAAAATATGGAAATTATTAAATTTCAGCTTTAAGAAAATCATATTAATTCATTAATTGTATTTATTAATCAGGTTAGATATATCTTTTTCATCAGCTTTTTAAAAGACAATGCCTTTTGGTTATAGAAATGATTTAGTTCATTAATGTATTGTTTTTTTCTTTCCAAAATAATTATTGAATTTTTTGAATGTTTTAACTATATGCAAGAAACTGTTCTGGGAATAGGGGAATAAAACAAGCAAAAATTTCTGCTGTTATAGAACTTATTTCCTAATGTGAAGAGATAGTAAGAAGAAAACATAATCAATCAATCAATGCATTCCATAACCAACCAGCCCATTTTTGCATCACAGATGGTCATAATAAGAGCTATGAAGAGAAGAGAATAGGGAGAGCCAGGCTGTAGGTATGGGGTAGTAATTTGTTTAGGGTCAGCAGGGGAGACCTTTTCCATAAGATCACATTTTAGCTCTCACCTGAGAGATGGAAGCCAACCAGTCAGTAGAAACTCATGTTATGAGGTAGGAGTAGCTTAGATGGTTTAAGAAATCTTGAGGGAGGAGCAAAATGTGGTCAGAGGAGGAAGGAGAGCTGGGAGAGTTGGGAGGAAACTGGGCAGAGAGTTAAAGGGAGCCTGGGAGCCAGATCACAGTAGCTCCAAARACCCTGTAAGGACTTTGCCCTTTCACCCTGAGGCAGAAAGCTGCTTAGTTCTGTTGAGAAAGGGTTTAATTGAGAATATGGCAACCTTGGAAACAGGAAGACCTTTGGGAGACTGTTAGAGTAATCCAGGCAGGATATAAAGATGATGACTTGGATCTGGGCGGTGGTAGTAACAGAACTGGATAACAGGTGGTCTCAGGACTTCAGATTCTGGCTAAGGTGGGGCTAAGAAGATTGGCTACAGATGGGTTGTAGGCTTGAGAGACAGGGAAGAGCAAGAATAGCTGTGCATGAATGAATATGCAGGACACTATGCTAATTAAAATAAGCCAGGAGCAGAAAGACAAGGGCTTTATGTGCTTGCTTATGTGTGGTTGCCAGGGAGATGGGGAGATGTTGGTCAAAAGGTACAAAGTTTCACTTATATGATAAATTCTGGGGAACTATTGTAATGTGGTAACTATAGTTATTAATAATGTATTTTTTAATTTTCAATTTGATTGAAATTTTCAGTGTTTTCACATTTGTGTCCATAACTATTTGTGATGATGGATGCATTAATTAATTAGTTTGATTGTGGTAATTATTACACATGTATATGTATAGCAAATCATCACATCATATACCTTGAATGTACAAATTTTATCAATTAAATGATTTAAAATTTAAAAATTCCTCTGAGCCTTTTGGTCTAAGCAGTTGACCTTCAGTAGAGTTGAGGAAAGGCTATATGGAAGTGTGGTTTGGGGAGGTTAAATTTGATGTATCAAGTAGTAATATCACTCACTGCTTTCCTTTTGTAAATTGTTAAAAAAAGAATTTTTTAACACAATGCAGAGCTTTGCTTATGCTTAAATGTATCTACTAAATTACTTTGTTTATTTTGTCTAATGCTAAGCATCTTTTTGGTGCCCATTTAAATAAATCATTATTTAGGGAAAAGAATTATATTGGCAGTTAAATAAATAAGACTATTCAGTATTCTCATACATTGATTTCCCAGTAGTAAATGCTTTTCTGGCACCAGAGATACGGCAATAAAATTGACAAAAGTTCCTGACCTCATGGAGCTTATAATAGAAGACACAGGCAATAAATTATGAACATATATGTAATAAAATTTCATGTAGTCACCAAAGGTCATGAAGAAAGAGCAGAGTATGAAGTTGAAGTGTGATCTTTGGAAGATCTAAAGTAAGAATAATCCATAGGATAAAAATTCTTGAAGTTTGTTAAGTTTTCGACAAGTTGCTATCATAATGAAACTTTTTTTTTTTAGTTAAGGCATTATAAGTACATCTCATATTCAGAGAAAAATTTGTCGTTCCGTCTTTTTGACAATCCCAAAGAATTCTTTACCTTAGAGAATAYCACCATATTTTAATATTTTGGCTCTGAATTTAATTTATTAATTTCACAATAACTCAACATGGACAGTAATAGTTAAAATACTTCTCTTATTTAATGTTTAGTTTGTCAGGTAATTTTTTTTGGGGGGTGGCTGGGTACCAGGGATTGAACTCAGCGGCACTCTACCATTGAGCCACATCTCCGGCTCCATTTTGTATTTTATTTAGAGACAGGGTCTCATTGTGTTGCTTAGAGCCCTGCTATTGCTGAGGCTGGCTTTGAACTTGTGATCCTCCTGCCTCAGCCTCCTGAGATTCTGGGATTACAGGTGTGTGCCAGTACACTTGGCTAGTCAGGTACTCTTTATAAGAATTGGGCATGTACCATCTCATTGAATCTTTTTGGTCAAGTAGTTACTATTGTTCCTATTTTATCTGAGTAAACCAAGGCACAAAGATAAAGTAGAAGAGCTGGATTCAAAGAGAGGCAATCAGATTGTCATAGTTTGTACTATAAAACTCCTATAAAAGTAATCTCTGAGGTATTTAGTCATTATCTAGTTGCTTATTTTATAAAAATACAAATATTCAAAATATGTGTATAATGGTCCATTTATTGCTTCGTTATACAGTGTATACAGGGTGAAGAAAACAGCTTGGATGACCTCACAACTCTGGATAGGAAAGCCCTCTTGCAGAGTGACTATGTGCACAACTCTCAACATGTRCAGCACAACGCAAGGAAATCAGATGCGGTTAGGCTTCAGCACTCTCTTATATGATAAGTCATTAGGATCATTACCCTCCAAGAGTTTACAGACTTAGAAAAATTGCAACAATTGAATTTGGACTGAGATGAATATTCATTGATGTATAAATTGAGTTGTTATTTTTATAAATGATTAACTTATGTTTGGTATATTTTCTGTGCAAAGTGTCTTGCATTTTATTTACAAAAATTTAGTTTATATTGTTCAAAATATTAATTGGCTACTTTTTATGTTAGTGGGCTTATTTGGTATCACATCCTCCCTTCAAATAGATGCCTCGTTATTGTTTTGAAATTCATAGGCTACTATCATTACGGAGATTGTGCCAGTTGTAGAAAAAGCCAGGAATTAAAGATGTTTTCTTTAATAAAATTGAAGCAAAACTCCAGACTTTCAATATTAACTTTCGAGTATGTATTTTTAACAGTTAAATAGATTGATAGGTGGTGCTTAGACCAGTTCTGGTATACACAGGTAAGTATAATATTTCTATAGTATCCCATGGTAAGGGGACCAAACTGCTTGAAGGTGGAGTGTGCTCATCCCCTAGAACCCCAGGTGATTAGTATCATAGACATCCTGAAAAGGTAATGCAATACGAGATGGGAAAGCTCTGGCTTAGATAACCCAAATAATAATAAAGCAACATGGATTTAGCTAGTTACATTTTACATTATCATTAAAAATATATATATACACACACAACATATATATGCAATATATATATATATRTATRTAYATRCATRYRTATRTWYA